GTTATGCCTGGGCATAGTCGGCCAATTGGTGTTAAAGAAGGATAGAACTTTCTTTATGTATGCCACAACAGCAGCAAGAATACTTATTGCAAAGTATTGGAAGACACAAGACCTACCCACTCTGGAAGAATGGCAGATGAAGGTGATGGACTACATGGAATTGGCGGAAATGACTGGCAGAATCCGAGACCAGGGAGAAGGGTCGGTGGAAGAAGACTGGAAGAAATTTAAAGACTATCTACAGAAATATTGCAAAATTAATGAATGTTAGAATGATGTTAGAATGAAGTTAGGAGGTTTAAGCTGTAATTGCTATAAAGGTGTATGTAAAAATGGATTGATAACAGGTGAAAATTCAAAGTTATAGTATATTAAGTTAAAGGATTAAGAGAAAATAAAGAGGGAAAGAAATTGCTGAATTAACTAACTGAATTGGAATACAAAAAAGGGAGGTATGAGGAGGTCAGGGAAACAAGGATATGAATGTAAGGCATGGAAAGATTGATGTATTTTTTTTAAGTGTTTTTTATTCTTTTATTCTGTATTTTGTATTTTTCTTGTATTTTTACTTCTGTTTTTTGTTTTTGTTTTTTTTTGTTTTTTCTCCTTTTCTTTATTTATGTAATTCTTCTTTCTGAAATTTTAATAAATATCATTTAAAATAAAAAATGAAATGCCACAGGGTTGCTGCTAGTCAGCGCAGGCAATATTGAGCCACATGGCCCAGTGGTCTGGCTCAGTATAAGGTAGTTTACCTTAGATTTTAACTCCAAGGAAATGTCTAAATGGCCCAAGTAAGTCCAGCCTATCCAAGTGGTCATCTTCACCTCCAGGTTCCACTGCAAGATTTAAGATGGACTGGAAATGCTTTCTTAGGGAAGCCAGCAATGGGCTCAGAGCCCTTGGGGGCAGACATGGGGCTAGACGTGCAATTCATTGAGTAGTTCTGCAAGTGAGATCAACCATGACATCTTGCAGCACTCCAGTCAGACGTTTATGCATTCTTCCAGATTATTATTTTTTTTAATTGCTTATTTAGTTTTCAAAATTTTACATACAATATGTTTAATTTATCCATTGACTTCCCACCCAACCCCCATCCACGATGTTCTATGTTCAATGCTGCATATTTTTAAACTATAACACTCCATATATCCTGTCCACTTTATGATTCCATAAATCAGCCTTCCCGGATGTGCTGCCCTCCACTGTTGAGGACTACAACTCCCATCATCACTGACCATTGTCCACACTGGGAATTCCCATGATGGGAATTGTAGTCCAAAGCAGCTGCTGTGTACCAGGTAGGGGAGGGGTGCTATAAATGAATATAGTCAGCTGCCTTATATCAAGTGTGGTGCTGAAAATGCCAAGGTTGCAGGTTTGATTCCCATATCAGACAGCTGCATATTCCTAGAGGATTCTCAGGGCCCCTACCAACAATTCTATGTTTCTATGCCAGATAATTGTTCCATGGAGCCTGCTTTTATCTATTCCAACAGGCAGCTGTTTTCCAGGATTTTGGGAAGAGAGCAATGGTGGACTTTGGGCTTTAAAACTTCAGCGGTGCCTTGTGCTACGCCAAAATGCGGCACCCTCTGTCGGAATTGGGAGGTCGAAAGGCCAGCTGGAGCGTCTCCCTTCAGCCTCTGGCTCCAACGTACATCAGTGACTCAAGCTTGCAGACTTGAGCACACTTTACTCAGCAGTGACACACAACAATCCCATGTCTGCAGCAAAGGGTGGAATGGAATTCCCAACACGCTCTGCCTCCATTGTTTTACTGTTGCAGCACCCTCTCCACACAGCACCCAGTATGGTCAAACCTGTCGCGCTCCCAAAATTTGCCTCTGTAGAGCTCTTTCCCCACAACGCCACTTAAGATCCTTCCAAGGGGGTTATAGGAAGGATTGGAGCTGGGTCCTTTTGCAAACAAGCTTTGTGGCCCTAACTCCCCATGTTCGGAAAGTGAACATGTCAGTGAGAAGGCTGAGGTGAAAGCCTTCTCCCTGATTTCTACCTTTCCACTTGCAGGGAGTTGTTTTATTATTATTATTATTATTATTATTATTATTATTATTATTATTTGGGATAGGCATCCAGATCTGATAGATCAATATTATTTCCACTCTCCTATCTCTTCCCCTCAAGGTGGCTTGGAAATCAATACAGCATAATGCCGATAAAATCCAATTAAAAACAGAGCCACAATTCACTGCACTAAAACCATCGTTAAAAAGAAATGAAACACCTTCCTCCTCGCTTCCCCCTTGCGGGAAAAAGCGCTTTCTTGAGAGAGATGGACCCTGAGCTAGGAGGAGAGGTTGTAGCATTTGGGACTTTTTAGTTTAGAGAAAAGACAAGCAAGAGGGAACATGAGTTGTTGTTTTTTTAAGAAAAATGCATGTCATGGGGGAAGTGGATGGAGAAAAGTTCTTCTCCCTCTCTCATGACCCTCGAACTTGAGGACATGCAGTGAACCTGAATGGTGGAAGGTTCAGGACACATAGAAGAACTTCTTCATGCAGCACATAATTAAACTATGGATCACCCCATTTTTGGACAAAAGTATCCCCTGCAATGACAAACCTAGACAGCATCTTAAAAAGTAGAGATATCACCTTCCCAACAAAGGTCCGTATAGTAAAAGCTATGGTTTTCCCAGTAGTGATGTATGGAAGTGAGAGCTGGACCATAAAGAAGGCTGATCGTCGAAGAATTGATGCTTTTGAATTATGGTGCTGGAGGAGACTCTTGAGAGTCCCATGGACTGCAAGAAGATCAAACCTCTCCATTCTGAAGGAAATCAGCCCTGAGTGCTCACTGGAAGGACAGACCGTGAAGCTGAGGCTCCAATACTTTGGCCACCTCATGAGAAGAGAAGACTCCTGGAAAAGACCCTAGATGTTGGGAAAGATTGAGGACACAAGGAGAAGGGGACGACAGAGGACGAGATGGTTGGACAGTGTTCTCGAAGCTACCAGCATGAGTTTGACCAAACTGCAGGAGGCAGTGGAAGACAGAAGTGCCTGGTGTGCTTTGGTCCATGGGGTCACGAAGAGTCGGACACGACTAAACGACAACAACAACAACATCCCCTGCCCAGTTTGGACTTCAAACTGGATGTCCTTTTTTCACATCTTCCAGCTCGGCTGGCCCAAAATGGCGGTGGTGTCAAAATAAATTCCCAAAGAAATTTTCTTTTGGGAATTATAGGGACAGAACTACCTAAATTGTATAGAAATTTATTTATGTATGCTACTACAGCAGCAAGAATGCAACTCGTCCCCAAATGGAAAGAAGCAGAAGTCGCAGCAAAGGAAGAACGGATACAAAAACTTAAGGAATATGCAGAAATGGTGAAACTTACCGGAAGAATAAGAAATCAAGATAACAAACTTTTTACCAAAGAATGGAAATGGTTGATTGAATATTTACAGATAAATTGCAAACAGATAAGAACATTGGCAGGGTTATGGTAATAACCTGCAGTTTCATAAGAGTATATATTTAAAGTAGATAATTAAATGAATTTGGATATGCAGGAGATATTAAAAAATAAATTTAAGGAACCGCAGAAAGAGGGGGGACGGAAGTCAAGTTTTGAAATGTTTAAATGATTGTAAAATTAATGAGATGTATAAACCTGAAAAGTATAAATAAAATTTAAAATGGTGGTTGTGTCACTGTTGGTGCAGCTGATGAGGGGTCTGGCATGAGCAACAATATAGAGAAGGGGGAAGAAGTGACCTCATCTTCCTTTCTCTCCCCCTCCTTCCCTCTCACTGGTACCCCTCCTCCGCCATCCCTCACTGGTCTAGCATGGTGTGGGTCCACCGCCACTTGCCCCTCTCCACACCCCACCCTGACCTCTCTTCTCCTCTGCCCTGGAGCATCTTCTGACCCCAGTGTGGGCGAGAGGCTGGAGCAGGGGTTCAAGTCGCCCATGGGAGCTGGCCTTCTGCCCCTGGCCCCTGCTCCTCCTCGTGAGTCAAGGGGAAGAGCAGGACCAGGGTGCTGTGGGAGGGGGGAGGCTGACTGTGGGGAACCCCCTCCACAAAGGGGGGAGGATTTGGTGCCATGAGAATGTGTGTGCCCCTCAACCTCGATCTGCCCTTTATTTTGTCCAACTTGTCCCATATTTTGCCCGGCCAAAGGTGGCAACCCTTGCAACTTGCCACAATGGCTGCATTTCACCATCACTGGTAGAGGCAGGGATGCGTCTGAATACAGTGGTACCTCTACTTATGAACACGATCTGTTTCAGGGTGCCGTTCACACCCCAAAAGGTCCGTATGTAGAGCGCTGCTACTGTGCATGCACGAAGCATGATAGAGTGTTTTTGCACATGCGCGAAGCACGCAGATCGCTTCTGCGCATGCGTGAAGTGCGCAGATTGCTTCTGTGCATGTGCACATGGCGAACCCGGAAGTAAACACTTCCGGGATTGCCGCGTTCATAACCTGAAAAGCCGTAACGTGAAGCAAACATAACATGAGGTATGACTGTACAGTCGTACCTTGGTTCTCGGAACAGAATGCATTCTGGGAGTCCGTTCGACTCCCGGAACGGTTCGTAAACCAAGGGGCGGCTTCTGATTGGCTGTAGGAGCATCCTGCAGCCAATCGGAAGCCGTGGAAGCTGCGTCAGATGTTTGTCTTCCAAAAATCGTTCGGAAACTGGAACACTCACTTCTGGCTTTTGATCGTTTGGGAGCCGAAACGTACAAGTTCCAAGGCGTTTAGCAACCAAGATATGACTGTACTGGAAACCGCAGGAGGTGATAGTGGTCTTGTGTTGGAATCCTGCTTGAGTGTTTCCCACTGGCTTACCTGGTTTTGCACCGTGAGAACAGGATGCTGGGCAAGATGGGCCTGATGCAGGAAGGTTCTTTCTATCATGCTTTCCTGCATGTATGAATCGCCCCTTTCTTCTTTCCACGTTGGTGCTGGCGCTTGTTGACTCTTATCGCATGCAAATTGGCCCGGCGGGAAAGGGAGCGGATTGGTTTGCTTCCGCCAGGTAGGAGAACGGTCCAATTTGACCCCAGGGAACATAAGTGGAAACAATGAGAGGTTGGAGAGGCAAGCCGGGGCAGAGCAGGGCGGGGAAAGCACTTCAGGAGCAACTGATCAGATGCCAGGAAGCGCCGCTGTGCTGGCCGGCTCCTGGGAACAGGTAAATTAGGACGGGAAAGAGCAAAAGGTAGATTGCCAAGTGAGCCGCTTCCCCTTTGATCTCCCCTTGAACTCCTGTTTATTCCTAACCCGCAAACTGGCGATAAGCAGCGAAGCGTGTGACCTTCTCAGTGAATAATACTTAAATAATATAAATCTCTCCCACAATGCACTTCTTTGTTCGGTACAATTGCATAGGGAAAACCATTCTTGTAGCTTTGCCCTGCTGAACACAGGATAGCCGTTGGGGCTTTGTTCTTTGAACATTCACCCCCCCCTTAATATAAAGTGCTGGGAAAATAATGCACCTTCCCTTTGGGCCCCATCTGCACTAGAAATAGTGTGTTGTAGTGGTTAAAGTATTGAACTAAGACCTGGGAGACCAGGGTGCAGATACCCGCTTGGTCATGCAGCTACTGGGGTGACCTTTAGCTTTACAAATTTAGCTTTACCACCAGAGTCTAAAACTACTTGCGTGCACCATTGCAGGCATGGCCGCAGACTGGAGACCAAGGCTACCTCTTGACAGTATATATTTACAGCCACAGTTCTCAGAAAGGTTTAACAATCAATGTGCCTTCCGAGGGAACTCTGGGAATTGTAGTTCTGGGAGGGGAACTCTCTGCACCCTTAACGGACCACAATGCCCAGGATTCTTTGGGGCAAAGCCATGGCTGCTTAAAGCAGTGTGATATTGCTTTTAAGATGCAGTGCGGATGCTGCCAAAGGTATGCAAGGTAAAGGTAAAGGTAAAGGGACCCCTGACCGTTAAGTCCAGTCGTGGCTGACTCTGGGGTTGCGGCACTCATCTCTCTTTATTAGCCGAGGGAGCCAGCGTACAGCTTCTGGGTCATGTGGCCAGCATGACTAAGCCACTTCTGGCGAACCAGAGCAATGTACGAAAATGCAGTTTACCTTCCCGCCAGAGCGGTACCTATTTATCTACTTGCACTTTGACGTGCTTTCGAACTGCTAGGTTGGCAGGAGCAGGGACCGAGCAATGGGAGCTCACCCCGTCGCGGGGATTCGAATCACCGACGTTCTGATTATCAAGTCCTAGGCTCAGTGATTTAACCCACAGCACCACCCGCGTCCCAATAAGGTATCCAAAGGAAAGGCCAATTTAGGAAGGGGAAAGCACTGCAATCAGAGGCCCAGGGAACACTGGACATATATTGAGGCTAGAAACCCCGCAAACAATGCTTACTACACAGTTCTGGGAAGAGTCTCTCTGGAAAAGCTGTAGAAGGAATCATCCTCCTTCAAGACCAAGCTGGAAAATGCAAAAAGGCTATTGTGTGATTTGATTCCTATTCTGATATTTCAGGTGTGGCCCACGAGGTCAGAGAGAGTTTATTCTGCCTGCGCAGATATTAGGTTCCATCCACTTCTTGTAGGCAGAGCGTTGTGGCATGTCACAGAGATAAGGTTCTGGTGTTGTGGAGGTCAACAGACAGAGGCTGCTTCCAGACCACCTCTTTCTTGAGCATCTATCCTGGTGTATTTGCACAAAGCTGCTGAGAGGAGGTTCAATGACATGGGCTATTTATTCTGACTTGTGTGGCGGGAGGCTAAAGGACATTGCATCAAGCAATTATTCTCCCAAGCTTTCCAGGGCATCTCCTTGTCACTTTCCTTATTGCAAAAATGCTGATTTTTTTTGGGGGGGGTGCAGATAGCAGGTTTGTTTTGCAAGAGCTCCAAGTCAACTATAACTGCACTGCTTGAATTTGCTGATAGACCACTTGCTCATCCCTTTTCAGAAGCGGCAGCTGTGGACTGCGATGGATGGTTTGCATGCCCTTTGCAACGCAACCACAGCTCCGTACATTACAATGGCCACATGGAGGGCCTCTTGGATGACTTATGAGTAAATCTCATGCCCTTCTGCATCCCAGTGCAGCTGTGCTGAAGACACAGAGAGAAAGGGAAGCCATCGGAAAGAGTTCTGGACTAAAACTCAACTCTGCCTGCATTCAGGTTAGGGTGGTCAATAACTCTCTCAACACAGCAGAGGAGAGGAGAGCTCCTGTTTTTGCATGGATGCAAGTGGCAGAAAGAAGTGCAGAAGTGGACGTTCTCCGAAAGAAGCAGTGAGGAGAAGTCTGCCGAAAGGAGAAAGTGGAAACATCTCAGAAGGAGCTGCCTGGCCTGGCTGGGTCATGGGCAGAAGGCTGAGTGCATGTACTGGAAGGAGAGAAGGACACAGTTTGAATGTTTAAGGAAGAAGCTGTAATCTCCAATTAAGGCCATGCCTGGATAAGCATGTGAATGCAAATACTTTGCACACATTCTTCTTTTGTTATATGCTCTGCAAGTAAAAGCCTTTGGATATTTTAACAAGTGTTTGGACATTGTTTTTAGTTTCAAGAAAAGAGTCAGTATTGCACATGATCTGGCTTCCTACCTGCAGTTTAGCTGCTCTGCTAACAGGCGTTGATCGCTCCATGAATTTGCCCAGTCCTCTTTTGAAGCCAGCCAAGCTGTTGGAAGCATTGGCAAGCGGCTGGCAGATGTTGCGCCATTTGCTGCATGCTGCATCTCAGGCATGCATTAGGCAAGGGAGTATGATCCAGGGTTGGTTTCACCCAGTGCATGTGCGCATTCCCAGCGGCCCCCGCCCTACCTTCCCTTGACTCTCTGCCTGCTGCAATTCCCTCTTGGGCACAAATTACGAATGAGGCAAGACCCCGGCCCTGCTGTGCCGCTGCCCACGACATATCCTTGAAAAGGCAAGTAGAAGGAACCTGCAAGGGCAAAGGAGGGGGCAACGCCCTGTTTTGTTTGCCCTGCGCCTGGGGACCAAGCGAGATGCTCACTGTGGAGGGAGCCGATTGTGCAGGCAGGGATGGAGGGACAGCCTCTGGGATCTCCATTCTGAAGGGACAATGGGAGCTTTGAAAGCTCTTGTGAGTCATTTCGGGGGCCTCCGCCTTGCTCATTATCCACAGCACAAAAGGGACGGGAGACACCAGCTTCGGGTTACGTGAGCGACAGGGGCCTGGCTCAGAGAGGCATCCCTTGGGACTCAACCCATTGCATGGGGGCCTGCGGCCGCATTATCCTCAGCTCAACAGCAAAGGATGCTGTGCAAGAGGGGCTTGGTTGGCAGCGCAGATCTGCTGAGCAGAGGGCAGCACTGGCTGAGAACTGCAGAGCGCTCACCCACACTTGCATTTGGTCTGTGACTTCAATAATAATAACAGTAATACAGGTACACTGGTACCTCAGGTTACAGGTGTTTCAGGTTACAGACTCCGCTACCCCAGAAATAGTACCTCGGGTTAAGAACTTTGCTTCAGGATGAGAACAGAAATCGTGCTCCGGCGGCACAGCGGCAGCGGCAGGCCCCATTAGCTAAAGTGGTGCTTCAGGTTAAGAACAGTTTCAGGTTCAGACCGGACCTCAGGAACGAATTAAGTTCTTAACCCGAGGTACCACTGTATTCTTCTTATTCTTTGGCGATCGTACAGTTTTAAAAGTGAGTCCGTAAGTGACTGTGGAGGCCAATTCTGGGTCCAAATGTCCTTCCACAGTGGGAACATAGGTTTCTGGGTGGGAGTTGATCACAGTGAGGGTTTGCCAAGTGTGCCTTCCTCTTACCGCGTTTCTCCCTTGCATCCTGAGTTCAAGCGTCTTCAAAACCCATGACACTTTTGGTAAAGGCTGTTCTCCAATTGGAGCGCTCGCAGGCCAGTATTTCCCAGTTGTTGGTGATTATACTACATTTTTTTTTTTAAGATTTGCCTTGAGATGGTAATAATAATAATAATAATAATAATAATAATAATAATAATGTGCCACCCACCTGACTGCATTACCCCTGTGTGGCTTCTAACGAAACATCAAAACCAGTGCTATTTTTCTCAAAAAAAGAGGTGTCAGAACTTACCTGGCACCATCCTCAGACCTGCTGCAGAGTGTTGGGGGGCATGTGAGCAGAGGAGAGGGGCAGAGACAAGAGAAAGTGGTGGTGGGGAGATCATATTATTGCACAAGGAGAAGTCCTTGCACTGATGGAATTATGTGCTTCACTCTACACTGAATACAACCTTGGGTTCCTAAATCCCATCGAAACCAATGGGCCTTATTTCACAAACATGCTGAAGATCAGGCTGCCTCCATCGCTCCTGGCGCTGGGTCAACGGAGGGGCCTTGGCTCAGGTGGTTCTCAGGTAACCAGGTGCCGCCTTTCCTGATCTTTTTCTGCAGGCTGCGCTGTCGTTCCCCTGCCCCTGCCCCGGTTCCCATGGCTGCGCAATCTGGGTCGCTGCCTGTTGACTTTTCCAAAGCTCTTACAGTGTTTGAACTCTCCAATGGATGCAGCAGAGGGGAATTTAAAGAGCAGGGTTGTTTGCTCCCACTGTTGACTCACTCTGTGACTCACATCTGGCCCACTCCGAACAGGTGCCAAGGCTCCTGAGGTTGCCAGGGCTGTGTTTGCCCAGGTACTTCTGGGCAGGCTGGCTTTTATTTGCCTGCACCCAGAAGCTCCTGGGCCATCTGGCACCTTGAGAGATGCTTCATCAAGGGATTGTGCTAGAAAGCGCTTGGGAGATACCTGTCCCCTCCTGAGCAGCGCTGGCTGGCACCTGGCACGACAGTGGCTCTGAAGTGAGCAATGGAGACACAGTAACTAAGAGGCAATTTAGTTTCATGTTGGAGGCTCATGCAAGGTGGGCATCCCTAGGAGGGGACCAGTAGGTGCCGGAGAAGAGGCCAACTAAACTTTTCATCGTCCAAATCAGGGAGAGTTCCAGCTCAGTTTGCCTTTTAATGCATAATCAGCTCATTCACATTTCCTCTAACAGTAGAGAAACTGAAATTCAGCCTTGGAAATTCTTGCTTCGCTGAACTATGCTCTGCAACCAAAAAATGTGTCTATTAGGAGAAAGCAGAGGTGCCAATTCTATGGGGCTGAGGCCAGGTCAAACCCCCTCAAAATATGTGGGGACAGGGCTGAGCCGCCCCAATCTTGAGGGGCCAGGACCTGCCGGGCCTCCCCATGAT